AGCGGTTGAGTATCTGCCTTCGGCTCAGGGCATGATCCCAGGATCTGGGATCGAGTCCCACATCAGGCTCCCTGCGTGGAGCCTAGTTCTCCCTCTGCCTGTGTCTCTGCCTCTCTCTCTCTCTCTCTCTCTCTCTCTCTCTCTCTCTCGCTGTGTCTCTCATGAATAAATAAAAATCTTTGAAAAATTAGATATGTCTCTTGAAGCAAGAGAAGCAAAAATAAATAAACTATTAAGACTTCATCACAATAAAAAGCTTCTGAACAGTTAAGGAAACAATCAACAAAACTAAAAGCTGATCTATTGAATGGGAGAAGATATTTACAAACGACCTCTCTGATAAAGGCTTAATATCCAAAATATATAAAGAACTTACACAACTGTTACTAAATGGGCAGAAGACATGAATAGACATTCTCCAAAGAAGACATCTGGATGGCCAGCAGACACATGAAAAGATGCTCCGTGTTGCTCGTCATCAGGAAAATACAAATCAAAACCACCATAAGGTATCCCCTCACGCTTTTCAGAATGTTTAAAATAAAAAACACAAGACACAAGAGGTGTTCACAAGGATGTGGAGAAAGGGGAATCATCTTGCACTATTGGTAGGAATGCACACTCGTGTAGACACTCTGGATGACAGTGTGCAGGGTCCTCAAAACTTAAAAATAGAGCTATCCTATGACCGGGCAATTGCCCTACTGGGTATTTGCCCAGAGAATACAAAGGATACATGCACCCCAAGGTTTATAGCAGCATTATCTACAGTAGCCACACTGTAGAAACAGCCTGAGTGTCCACCAACTGATGAATGGATAAAGGAAATACGGTATATATATATATATATACACACACACACAATGGGATATTATTCAGCCATAAAAAAAAAAAAGAATGAGGGGATCCCTGGGTGGCTCAGCGGTTTAGCGCCTGCCTTTGGCCCGGGGCGTGATCCTGGAGTCCTGGGATCAAGTCCCGCGTCGGGCTCCTGGCATGGAGCCTGCTTCTCCTTCCTCCTGTGTCTCTGCCTCTCTCTCTCTCTCTCTCTCTCTCTCTCTCTCTCATAAATAAATAAATAAATAAATAAATAAATAAATAAATAAATAAATCTTTTTTTAAAAAAAAGGAATGAAATCAGTCAGGTAAGCATCCAATTCTTGACCTCAGCTCAGTTCTGAATCTCCGGGTCAGGAGTTCAAGCCACATGCTGGGCTCCAAGCTGGGTATTTAGCCCACTTAAAAAAGAAAGAAAAAAGAAACCTTGCCATTTGCAATGACGTGGATAGAACTAGAGAGTAGAATGCTGAGCAGAATTAGTCTGTCAGAGGAAGACAAATACCATACGATTTCACTCCTATGTGGAATTTAAGAGACAAAGAAATATGGGGGAGCGGAAAAAAAGCCAAACAAAGAAACAGACTCTTATCTATAGAGAACAAAACTGATGGTTACCAGAGGCGAGGTGGGGGGTGGGGGTGATGGGGGAAACAGGTAATGGGATTGCAGAAGGCGCCTGTCCTGCGAGCTGTGAATAACGCCTAGACCTGGTGAGTCGCTGGATCGTACACCTCAGTCTAATATGATGCCGTACGACAACATGCTGCAACTGAAGTAAAAGACTTAGTAAAAAAAAAAAACAAAAAAAAAACAACACACACACACAAAAAAACACACACAGACAGGAAATAACAAAGATTGGCAAAATCTGGCAGACCATGCAAATACAATGCTTATTGGAAAAATACAACAAATATGCTTTATTTTGTTTGTTTCTTGCTTTTATTTAAATGCTTAGCTAACAGATAGTGTAATACTGGCTTCTGGAGTAGAATTTAATGATCCATCACTTACGTACAACACCCAGTACTGAACCCAAGGACCCTCCTTAACCCCCGTCGCCCATGTGGCCCGTCCCTCACTCACTTCCCACCCAGGAAGCCTCTGTTCTCTCAATAGTCTTTTATAGTTTAAAAAAGCCCAGAAAACAATTCTAAGATTATAAACAGAAAGGCAACAATTTTTATATTTCTCAGCCTCCAAATATCTCATTATTATTTCCTCGGGGTTGCTAATTCATTCAAAATGGCTGACTTCCTGGGCCTTTGGCCTCATTCTGGAAGCCTGAATCTGTGCACAGGGCCCGCTGTGAGGATGCGGGTTGGGGACCAGAAGGCCACGTCCCCCCGCAGCCGCTGCACCCGCGGTCCCATGGGGAGGCGTCCGTAGACCAAGGTCTGGGCCGAGGAGGTCTCAAAGGAAAGGAGAGCAAGGAGAATTACAGACATAACAGGTTCCCGAGTAATTCAGACGAAAGAGAAAGAAAGAGGGAGAAGGGGAAGGATGTTGGGGGAGGGAGTCAGCGCCATCTGACGGGGCCTTGTGCGGCGGTGACAAGGACCTGCACAGAGGCTCGTCTTCATCATGTCGGGCCAGGTAGACACCAGCTTCTATCTCCCTTCCTCCTTGTCCTCTGTGGCCAAACGTCGGTACCAGGAAATGTGAGACCCACGTTCCCTTCCAGAGCATTGTTCACGCATGGAATGGCCGCAGGATGCTCCAACAGGCTGAGTCACTGCCTCATCGAATTAAAATGTGCCGACCCCTCCAAAGGGCACCAAGCACGCTTCTTATGGGGACACGACTGAAGCTGGGGGCAGGCTTGGCTGTGGCTAATGTAAGACTCCGGAAATCCACCCATCGTGTGCCCCAAGGTGTCTTGTTAATAGTGTTCTTAATATTACTTTGAAAGCTCTCGAACTTATTTTTTTTTTTAAAGATTTTACTTATTCACTCATGAGACACACACAGAGAGAGAGAGAGAGAGAGAGGCAGAGATGCAGGCAGTGGGAGCAGCAGGCTGCGTGCAGGGGGCCGACTGGGCCTCGATCCCAGGTCTCCGGGGTCATGACCTCAGCTGAAGGCAGCGCTAAACTGCTGGGCCCCCCAGGGATCCCCCAAACTTGCTATGTTAAATCCTAATCATTTTCTGCCTTCTAAGCTGAAGGCCCAGAACTTGGAGCTGGACCTGTTCCCAAAGCCTTCTGCTTACACAGGCACAGGACAACGGGAGGAAATGTCACCCTCTTCTCTGGGTCTAAGGTCCAAGCATGGGTGCTGGGGGCGGACAGGCCCCGCTCTGAGGAACCGGGGCCAAATCCTTTCACCAACCTGGGCTCCCGTTTGGCCGGTGAACTGCAGGTCATGCCAGGTTTCTGAGGGGAGAGGAGCAGCACTGTCCCTTCCCCAGAGCCCCTGAGGGGACCGGGGCCTGGCCGGGGCCGGGGCAGGGCCTGGAGCTGGGGGGCTGCTCACGCGTGGGCCCCACTCCTCCTCGTGGCATCTGTGATCCGCAGACACGTTTTGCTGGGCCTGGTTAATCTTTATGGTTAACTTCTCCTTTGAGACCTGAGCCTTCTTTGTGACGATTTTCTATTTTCTGTGGTTACAGTGTAATTAGGAGAAAAACACTTCATCACTAGCAGTTGGAATGGGGGTCTGGTTTGGGGGTTTTGTTGTTTTTTTTGTTTTTGTTTTTGTTTTTTGTTTTGTTTTGTTTTGTTTTGCTTATCTCTGCTCTCCTTCCATCCCAGTGTCTGTGGACGTGAAATGGCTTCAGAGCCTGGTTGGCCCTACTCCTTCCCCCCTAAAGTGCCACCCTTTCCCTGCTCACTGCAGAGGTGGTAACGAGACTGTGGCAACAAAAGGCCAGAGTGGGAGGCCTTCCTGCGGGGGGCACCCCTGCATGCGTGGACATGAGAGGTTCCCCTGCGGCTGGGGGCAGGGCCTGGTAGAGACGGACTCCGGCAGTCGAGGGGACTGGGAGCTCGGGCCTAGTAACCTGCATGTGACTTTAGCTAAGTCACAGGCTGGGGAGACCTGGGACGTACAGCCCCGTGTCTATCTAAGCTCCTTGAGGGCAGAGGTCTCTGTGCCTCAGTTCCTCTGTCTATGAATATGGGTAAAAGTTGGATCTGAGGATTACATTCATGTATAATTTATATAAATATAAATGCTTCTGCTTACATCATATAGAAACTATAATATATAGTTATATATTATTATTTTATTATATATTACATTTATATAAAATTTATATTATCTACAACACATCTTTCTATAAAGTAAAATCAAACACATATAAATACACACATATATAAATCATTGAGTATCTGGCCATAGCAAGACACCAAGAAATAAGAAATAGGATATAATTTTGTATATTTACCCCCCACCCCCACCCCAGGGATAGCAGGAAAAAGGGGAGGGAGAGATAAGAAAGAGAGGAAGAAAGAGGAGGGACAGATGGACTGAAGAAGAAAGGACTAAGGAGTGAACAAAGGCAAACACTCCCCTGATGTGCCTGGAGAACAACGGTGATTCCTAAATATGCAGGGAAACGTTCTTGGAAAAATAGTACAGACGGCACACGCATCAGTGAAACAACCCTGTGTGGCACAGAGAAGTCTGCCCCCACACAGGCTGTTGACACTCACACAGGTGACATGAGTGGGAGAGGCAGCCCCAGAAGCCCCAGGGCAGCTGTACCACCCTGGGCCTCGTGTCTGGCGCTTGGAGCCCCCGGAACAGGGCCGGGAGGGAGCTAGAGGCAGAGGAGAAGGAGGAGACTCTGTAGCTGGTGCCAGTGGACAAAGGCTCATGCAAACAGCAAGGCAAAAGCCAGACCACCCCTTCTCCTACCCCCTGACAGTCTGGGCCCGTTCCCCTCAATCTCATGTCATATACCGATTAGAAAGCTGCCTTCCAATCTTTCTCCTCACTCTACTGCCCTGGCCACATCCCTCCTCTCGAAAACCTAGATTACCTAAATCCTATTAAACTAGAACCACAGGCGTTTCCCTCTTGTCGCCATACATAAAACCACGCGATGTACAAGCAAGCACGAGAAAATCGGTTCTCTACACTTTTAGTCAAAAGCGGATACGGATCGGCTCCCAGTAAAAGGTCCCCTTTGTGTTCAGGCTGAGTGGGAGACTCACCTCTCTGCATTGTCACTCTGGAAGAAACTCAGCTCTCCTCCGAGTAGAGCCAAAATGGGAAAAAGAGAAAGTATCGGAGAAAGACTGGCATTGTGAGGTGCTCCTGCACAGCACCCCTCCCCCGGGGACTTGGCTCCTCAGTCCACTCTGGTTGGAGTCTTGACTCTGCTGTTCACTAACTGATTCAACCCAGACAAAAACCACAACTTCAGTACTCAGATTCCTCACCTAGAAAATAAGAAAACAAAACTCCATTTTTATTTTTTTTAGGCATTGAATCATTTCATCAAAAAAATTAAAATTAAAAAAATAAAATCTTATGTGTGGGATGCTGGGATGGCGCAGTCGGTTGAGTGTCTGCCTTTGACTCAGGTCATGATCCCAAAGCCCCGGGGCCGAGCCCCCCATCTGACTCCCAGCTCATCAGGGAGCCCACTAGCTCCTCTTCCCCCCCACCCTCCACCATTCACGGGTGTGCGTACGCACGCGCTCTCTCTCTCTCTCTCCCAAACAAAGAAGAACTTAGGTGTGAAACCCAATAGGGTAAAGAGACACAAGAATAATTGTGTACATGTAGGGGTGCTGCAGTGAAGGGGGAATAGAGCCTCATCCACTGGTCCCCTCCGCCATCTCCTTGATGGTCCCTGAACCATCACAGAGTTTGTGGATAATTGTGATCTCTCAGCTCTTCCTCCAAGAAGTCTCTAATATTTTACATGTATCTGCACCTCCCTTGGTTATGCACTTAGTATGCTGCAACACAGACAACTCTAGAGCATCCAAACTACGTTCTTCTTGGCCCTGGGCTCCTATAGGGCACCTCAGGACTCTCCGGGGTACAAAAACCCAAAAGGGAAGCCAGCCATTGGAGTCTGTAACCTTCCCACCCTTCACCATTTCACTCGCTGTGTCTGTGCTTTAACCTGTTTTATCCTTTTTGGGACCATGTAAAATTTCTTTTGAGAAAAAGATTCTATTGCTTTAAAAGTTCAAAATCCACTATTTTGGCACAGTGGTTCCTGAGCGCTTCTCACCTTAAAGCACAAGAAAGATGGCTTCGACGTGTATCTCACAGCCCCACGGGCATGTCCAGAGGTGTAGGCGCATCTCTACCCCTTTTCCTCCCACCCAAGAACGCATAAAAGTTTGTGAGAGGTAACAGCCGTGTTGCCATAGGGATTGTCTTGAATATACGCATTTGTTCTTCTTCTGTGGCTGACACAATTGCCTTCCCTGTCGCAGTAAGCAAGAAATAAATAGGAGGCGTTAATAATACCTTAAATAGCTACCTCTTTCTTTACATAATGATTCTATCCAGAAGCAGCAACTTTATCAACCATAGAAAATGAAGTTTTAGGGGCACCTGGGTGGACATTCAAGAGTGTCCAACTCTTGATTTCAGCTCAGGGCCCGATCTCAGGGTCCTGGGATCAAGCCTAGCATCAGCCTCTGCGCTCAGGGGAAAGTCTGCTTGAGGTTCTTTTCCTCTCTCTACCTCTTCCCCTCCTCTAGCTCTATAAGTGAATAAACAAACAAACAAATAAATAAAATTAATAATATATTAATTTCATTAAATAAAAATAATAAACTCTTAAAATCTTTTTAGAATAGTTAAAAACTGACAAAATGTATAAAAATATGAAGTTTTGTAGCTTAAAAGAACTAAAATGCATCACCACATAACTAAGGAATATTTGCCTTCTAGCTACTTCATGATTTGTGATTCATCTTCAAGGCTGCTTGTCAGGTCAGCAGGTCTAAGGGGTCTGATGTGAGGTCATTTTTTCCCCAATTCTTTCTAATTGATGGAGTTTAAAAGAGATGAGAATCACCAACACTCAGAGGAAGAGGAGGGGACAATATATAGGATTTAAGGAGATGACTTGATGTTTCTTTGTGTTTAAAGTGTGTGTGTGTATAAATACATACGTAAAATATTAACTGATGCTTTAGTAATTTCCTACGAACAGTAATAATTGAGATTTTTCCAATAGAATTGCTCATAGAATCACTTAAACACATAAATGAGCAAAACCAACGTTACTAAATTTGAGACCATGAAGCCTTTCCTTTTCCTCCCTCAGGTGGGCGGGGTACCCAACACCTCGACCCAGGGAGCACCTGTTGCCTTCGAACACTGCACAGCTTGGAGCCAGAGGTGAGTATCTGTATTTGGAGTATAAGGTGAGACCTGACCCACTTGGAGTATAAGGTGAGACCTAGGGGGCTCCCTTGATTCTCCTTCATAACTTTAACATGAAAAGTTCCCTCAGATTTGTCTAGAAGGTAACTTGGGTTATGACTGAGCTGTTTTGTTTCAAATTCCTTATCATAATTTCAAACCCTTGTACGCTCTCAATTCTGGGGAAAGCACCATCCACATACCCGCCCCCCAAAAGAAAACAGAACCTGACCTGACTTTAATGGGGTTTTTTTGAGTGTAGTTGACACACAATACTACTTTGGTTTCAGGTGTGCAACTTGGTGCCCCGACTTCCCTGAACATTGTGCTATGCTCGCCGCAACTGTAGCTGCCATCTGTCACCATTCGCCGTTGTCACGTCGTCGACAATGTTCCCTGTGCCGTGACTTTCGTTCCTGCGACTTAGTCCACAACCGGAAGCCTATATCCCCCAGTCCCTTTCACTCATTTCACCCGTCTTCCCCCCACTTCCCTCTGGCAAGCATCAGTTTGTTCTTTACATTTACAATGACCTCCCCTTTTTCCTGAGGGATGGATAGCACGATCCCGTGGAAATCTAACTTCAACTTATGACAAACGTATTAGAAATCAAATAATTTATTTTACATTAAATATGGTTCTCTGCTACTGAAATATATAATTATTTTAGTGACATACATACTGCCCTTCCTTGCCCAACCTCAAAACAACTTTTGAGGAATTCACAGAAATAGGAATATATCCTAAAGTGAGAAGTCAGTATGACTGATGGTGTTGCTATGTGCCAAACTTTCTGTGTAAAATTAGGGAAAAAGTTACACTGGCTCTACTTGACTTTTATTCATTTCATTATTAAATTTACATAAATACATAAAGATCATTTAAGGCATGTGATTTTTTTTTTCTACCAAAGAGGTGGGTTTAGAAAAAACTAAAATTTAAGTTCAGGATAAAATCTGATTTAAAGCTATACGTATGTAACGTATACAAGTTTGGAGGTAAGTGCACTTTTGAGAAATCGTTGGAACCAAACCCAAGTTCTTCTGCCTCGTGCACAAGGACAGTTGCTGAGGCATGAGTGTGCAGCAAGCGGGGGGGAGGTGGGGGGCTTACCAGCGCGGTGGCCGGACAGGGGCAGGCCCGACAGAGGGGAGTAAGGGATCTTTAAAGGCAACTGAAAAAGCTCTGGGTAAAAGGTTGCAGTTGTGCTTATTAGTCCCGTGAACACTAAATTTCAGCATCACGACAACCTGTGCCACGAAGATACCCCCTCCAAAGCTTACTGCCTGGCCTCGTGACTTATGATGCTAAACCCTCGACGGAGGCTCTACCCTCTCAGAAAAATGGTCATAAGACAGCCCTGTTCCCTCTTGCTCAGCCCTACTGGACATCCCCGTCTTGCCGATCTTTTCTAACTGGAGCTGTGTACCTCTGGCCAGCACTCCCCACTTCCCGCACCTCCGCTGACGTCTCCCACCCTGTGTCTGCTTCTAGGACTTTGGCTAGTCTAGAGGTCTCGTGTAAGTGGAGTCATTTTATTTATTTTTTATTTTTTTAAAGATTTATTTATTCTTGAGAAACAGAGAGAACGAGAGGCAGAGGGAGAGCCGGCTCCCCGAGGAGCTGATGTGGGACTTGACCTCAGGACCTCAGGGCCACGACCTGGGGCGAGGCAGGTGCCCCTAGTGGGCTCACGTGTACCTCCGTGTCCTGCAGCCCCGCCTCATGAGTCGGGTTCAGATTTGCTAAAGTCACAGTACATGGGTGAGGGGGGCTGAAACCTCCAGCTAACCGGCATTAGCGGAATGGACGGCGGGATTCTTACGGCCGGTGTTTAGCTCAGGGATGTGGGGGTTCCAGCTTGAACGGTGTGGGGGGGATAGTGGGGTGGCCTTGCACAGAGAGAATGATCTGGGTGAAGCCTGGGTGGTTAGGGTGGAAGGGACCGAAGGCCAGAGGCTGCAGGAGAGGAGGCTGAGGGCCAGAGGCTGCAGGAGGGGAGACTAAGGGCCAGAGGCTGCGGGAGGGGAGACTGAGGGCCAGAGAGAGGCTGCAGGAGGGGAAAGCATGGTGAACACAGGGCCCCCCAGGCCTGCTGGGTCTGTCAGCCGGGACCCAGGGGCCAATGGGGGAGCCCGGAGAGGGAGCCCGCAGTCCAGATGCTGGACAGATGTCGCTCCCAAGCCCCTGGGTCCTTGGGTCCACGGGGGCTGGGGCGCCGGGAGCAGAGGCAGTGCGCAGCCGGAGAGGACGGACCGCACGGCCGCGGTGACGCCAGGCCTGAGAGGCAGTCACATAGGCATGGGTGACGAGACAGGCGAGGCTCAGGGACTCCCCGAAGTACCCGGACGGGAAATGGGTCTCCCACGGGCCAGCAAACAGGGGTGTGTGTGAGGTTTATTTAGGTACTGATGGGGGGATGCTTGGCATCCCAGGCAGCCCCGGATCATGTAGGGTCTTCTCTCTGCGGCCACCCCACTGCTCCCAGGGAGCCTGGAGTTACCGGACGACTAAGTGCAGCTGCCTGAAAGCCTGACATAGGGCAACGAGGTGTTCAAACCATTGCACCTTCTTTCCTTAAAGAACTGAAGCTAAAGCTCTGTAATTGGACCCTTGCTGCAGGCTTTGTGCCTGTGAATATCCTGAGGGAATGGGAGAGGAGCTCAGAAGGAGAGGAGAACATTTTAAAAAATATATTTTATTTATTTATTCATGAGAGACCCAGAGAGAGAGGCAGAGACATAGGCAGAGGGAGAAACAGGCCCCATGCAGGGAGCCCGACGTGGGACTCGAACCCAGGACCCCGGGGTCACGCCCTGGGCTGAAGGCAGACATTCAACCACTGAGCCACTCAGGTGCCCCAGAAGAGAACATTTTATTCAGGACCCACTAAGTCTCAAGGGCTCTATAAATATTGTCCTCATTTAAACCATAGCAACTTCCTGAAGGAGCCACGATAAATCCTGTTTTATGAATCAAGAAATTAGGCCTCAAGGTCAAATCGCTCGCCCAAGGTCACAGTGTTTTTCATGCTTGAGTGAAAAAGAACACATCTTCTCTTTACAAGCATTACCAAGAGTATGTCAAGCTCCGGGTTTAAAACACGCTGATCTCAGATCTAAGCTACGAAAGCGCCGCTCGTTATGAATGAGCACCGCGGAAAGCAGCTCTTACGTATGTAAGGGCACACGATAATTTTAAATACCATCGTTACACCGAAAACACACTCACCTCAAAATACTGGGACCTGAGAATAAGTGCCTTCAGACCTAGGTGCCCACGGATTCTGGAGAAACGTGGTCCTGTCATGCTCATCGTTTCAAGAGCCAAGCAGAGGGCCGAGCAGTGCCCTGGGTCATCGTATGGGGAAAGTCTGCTGGAACTCGGGTGTGAAAATCCGGAGTCCTGATTTCTAATTCGCACACAAAACTCCACGGCGCCCGTAGCTGTGCCCTTGCAAAGCTCCGTCCCAATAGGTGAGCCTCGAAGATCAAAGTCATGGCAGGTTCCACTTCCAGGCCGGGATCCCGGGGTCTGCTGCCCCAGGGCCACCCGGCTCCGGGGAGCACGCTCTACTGGTTGGAACAGGCTTGGGCCTCCCCCTCAGTCCTACCTGCTCCAGGCCTAGTTTAAACAAACCGGTTGTAACTGGCTCTCTACACCTCTTACCCTCCAAATGCAATTTCATATACAAACTGCAGCTTTCGACTCACATGATACAGACTTACGTCTAAAAATAAACACGTCCTTTCAAGCAGGAATTTCCTTCATCTCAGAAGCGGCACCAACCACTTCGACAAGGCAGCGACGTGGCAGCCCTCCAGGCCTCGGGGGGTGGGGGGGCCTGCACGCCGGGGTGGATGCCACAGGTGGACAGCAGAAGACCTGCAAGCGCAGCTGCGACATGGATCGTGTACGTCATGCACCGGGTAGCAATCGACGCATTCTTCTTGGACTTTATCTTGAATTCTTTTGTAGACGTTCATTAATAATCGTTATAAGATCTAGGATACCCAGAGGTTAAATCCCACTAAACTTCACAAAAGGAGAATCAATCATTCTGATTGGGAACCCAACCCTTTTCCTAACCAGGATTTCATTTGCTCCCCTTGTAGACAATATGATTAATTTAAGTGGATTACAGAGAAACTAGGCGAATTGGCTTAGAGAATTAACAGTTTTAAATGAGCACTTGTGGCCTGTCCAGGACTATACAAGATGCTTCACCTGCTGATCTCATTGAATTCTCAGCAATCCCATGAGGTAGTTATTATGCCATGCAATCCTAAAATCTACATTTTCACCCAGACAATCAAATGCTGCAGGGCAGTGGGACCCAGAATCTCTGTTAGGGGGCCTCAGAACCCGCAGCATAGGGGAGTTACGGGCTTTCCTAAACTGTACACAGGAAGCACGCTGCTCTTAGGTCGGATATTTAATTGTTGCAGCTTGGCCAAAAATGATGTGGAGGGCCTCAGCGGGCCCTCCCTCAGTCCTGCAGATGGACTTCTTGTAGTGCTGCCGCTCCGTGACAGCGCTGGAGCTTGGCCCGTGGGAGTAAGAACTCACCACGGACCCTAGATGACTCCAGGAATGAGTGCATGGTAAAAATCCATGTGATGGCTTTTTTTTTTTTAAAGATTGTATTTATTTGACATCTCACTCTGGGAAATGAACAAGGGGTAGTGGAAGGGGAAGTGGGCAGAAGGATGGGGTGACTGGGTGATGGGCACTGAGGGGGGCACTTGGTGGGATGAGCACTGGGTGATATGCGATATGTTGGCAAATTGAACTCCAATAAAAATTTTTTAAAAAAGATTTTATTTATTTATCCATGAGAGACACACACACAGAGAGAGAGAGAGAGAGAGAGAGAGAGAGAGAGAGAGGCAGAGACACAGGCAGAAGGAGAAGCACGGGACTCGATCCCAGGACCCCGGGGTCACACCCTGGGCCCAAGGCAGATGTTCAACCACTAAGTGCCCCAGGAGCCCTGCATGTGATAACTTTAAAAAAAAAAAAAAAAAGGACGTAAGGGAAAGTCTAAATTGCATTTTTCCAATAAGAAAGAGCTAGTCCTGAAACTAGGGACCGTGAGATTTTTCCAGCAAAACGGGAACTGTGCTCCCTAGCCCCCCCAAGAGCGTGTTTTCTTTCCCGGCACCACTGAGGGGCTGGCCGTCTGACTTAGGAGGCCTTTTCCAGCCAAAATGTCTAAACAAAGCAGCTCAAATACGTGGTGTCAGCAAAAACTGAAGTTGAGGCTGTCCATATTTTTTCTGCCCTTGGTGAGAGCTGAGCCAGCTGTTCCCGGGCCTGTGGCGGCCAGGCCCAGCACGGCCTGGACAGGGTGGTGTCGGGGCACAGGGCCTGGGAGGCCAGGCCGGCTTTAGGCCGCACCAATCCGCAGCTGGACACCAGGGGCTCCCCTGGACGATTGATACTGGAGCCCGGTGGGAGCCAGGGGTCCTCCGGTCTGTTCTGGGGAGGGGGGCAGCCACCCTCGAGGCCTGCAGACCGAGCAGAGCCCAGCACAGCTCCTCGCCCAGAGCCTGCTGCTTCCTTCCCTCCTTCCTTCCTTTTTCCCCCGATAAGTGGAGGCCTGTCCGCGCCGTTTAGTTCCCACAAAAGGCTCCTTAACCCTGAGCACTGGCTGCAGTAGGGCCTGGGCCGCTCCAGGCCTGGGCCAGGCCTGCCTCCCTCCCTCCCCACGCCAGCTCCACTTCCCGTCATTCTTCTCCAACGTACCTTTCGCCCTTTTGCAAGCATCCCCCCAAAATATCAAGATTGCCGCCATCTCAATCCCAAAACATCCATGACCTAGAACGGAACATCCAGGATTTCTTATGAAACGGGAAATGGCACCACTGACTGCCAACGTCTCTACATGATGTTTTGCTTCCCAGGGACCAGGAGCACCCTTGAAAGAATGACCAGCAAAGACTGTGAGGTTTTAGGGGGGAATCCAAACTATAATTTTAATAAGACTCCATTACATGAACCGACCGACAAATACCAAGTCCACTGCTCCCACCTGAACAAGAAATTGGATTTAGGCTCCGCTGTCTCCTCACCACGGAACTACGTGTGATCAAGTCCCCCGCATAGCCCCAAAAGGGCCCCCCTTTGACTCACAATGTGCCAGAAACATTAATAATATTGTGTAGCCTGAGCTCCCCAGGGTTCTTAAGCACAGACCCCCCCTTTTCAACCCAGTGTTAGCCTTGAGGGAAACAGGCTTAGGAGCACACAGACCGCACAAAGGCCCTAGAGGCTGGCCATGTTCATTCCACATTGCTGTAGTAAGCAAATCATGTCCCTTCCCCCCAACAGGAGGGGAGAAGCAAGGCTGGGCCTCACGCCCCCAGGAAATAGCAACAGAAACTTCCAAAAAATATATGAAGTCTTCAGAAAAGTTAAAGTGTGACCTATGAAGTAAGAACTGAATATGCATCAAAGATTTTATTCAACCTATTAATGAACGAAAAAACTAGGAAAAGGGTAAAACTGGTAAACAGAGCACCTTGCGGAAGAATGTTAGACGCGGGCTCCTAGGTTAGACATGCAGCTGCAGAGGGCCGCACCAGAAAGCAAAGCAGCCAGCCCGCTGGGCTCCTGTCACACCCGACACAGCTGGGTCTTGACTGCCAACAAACCCAGGAACTACCACGTCACCGCCCAGGGTGAGCCACGAGTCCAGGGTAAGCACCTGAGCCTCAGATCAGTGACCCCAAAGGCCTGAGGGGGGCTGCTGAGCACTGCCCAGCAGCAGGGAGCGAGGGCTGGGGGCAAGGGGAGCAAGGAGGGGCAGTAGGGGAGCAAGGAAGTAAGGGGAGCAAGGGGGGCAAGGGGGGCAAGGGGGCAAGGGGATAAGGGGAGCAAGGGGGCAAGGGGAGCAAGGAGGGCAAGGGGAGCAAGGGGGGCAAGGGGGCAAGGGGAGCAAGGGGGTTAAGAGGGGCAAGGGGAGCAAGGGGGCAAGGGGGGCAAGGGGAGCAAGGGGCACGAGGGGAGCAAGGGGGGCCTCCGAGGGAGGACCCCGCAGGTGGAGGAGGTGTCCGCCCAGTGGCAGGGGCAGCCCTCCTCTGTGCCAGGAGGCCCCTAGCAGGTCTCTTTGAAGAAAAACCATAAGGAACTTCTGCAGCGGTGCCAAGGCCCGGTGTGCTTCACAAACACAGAAGACACCAAAAGGCATGTGTGGGTTGCACATTAGAATAACAGCATTTATCACGATGTTTTGGTTGGTTCAATATCCTCGTTGTGAGTCTCATGCCACACAAAGGTTACTGCCTATTAATTTAATATTTAGGCTTCTGTTCCTTTCCAGAGATAGAAAGCATTTTCTTTCTCAACTCTTTAGGTTTTGAAATTCCCCCCAAAAATCAGTTTTCTGTCTCTTAAGTCCTATAATTCAAGGGCAAAGCAGCAGGACTTCAACAATATCTGCTTAAAAAGTACCATGATAACTTCATTATCCTAAAACAGAATGTCTTCACTGTTAGGAAGTCACATAAGAAGGACATAAAAATGGAATGGATTTTTATTTTCCAGGATTATTTTCTTCTGCGATGACTTGACACGGAATGGATAAGATGACCTCCATGATCCCTTTATATTATTATAAATAAAAGTTATACAATACAACATTCTACAATAACTGGATTTCCCAAATCCTCATAGAACATATTTCAGTGATGGGTCATTGGAAGTTCTACATCTACATCATATTTTAAACTTCCTGTCATCAATACATTTTTAAAATATAAAATATCCATTAGAACACATTACACCCTGCCAACTAAATTATAGGCACCTTCAAGATTTTGATTGGAAAAACTGGTAAAATTATTTTGTTGGTTCCCCCCAAAATTGAAAAACGCTCTGTGAGAATATTTTTTAAAGCTGTATTTTCCCATTTGTGAATAGCTGATGTTTTGGAATATAAAAAAGAAAAGACAGAGAATAGAACCTTTGCTATGAATTCCTACATCACAGGTAAAGCAATGGTTCAAATCTCGCTGGCAGGTTTAGAGGCCTATGGGATTCATTAAGGTGTTTCTTCAGCAACTTTGAGAGTCTCTCAATTATCTTTTATTATGTCTATACCTTATTCCTTTCTGGTCATTATCTGCAACTATCACAAAATGATGAGGCTCTTTGTTGTTCTGTTTTTGTTGCCAAAATGTATTAAATAATTAATTTCTAACCCTTTGGGTCACTGTTTTTGGAAAAAAAACTTTATGCTCCTCTTTTAAAGCTAAGTTCTGTTTCGGTGTGTTTTCAAAACATGCCTGTGGAAAGTCCTTTCAAAATTAAAAGCAGATGGTGAGAAAGCTCTTTGCCAGTTACTGAGCTATAAACTGCTGGCAGTCCAAGTGCGGTCAGGGAAAAATAACATTTTACGTTAAAAGCTGACTTCCAGGAAAATTATTCCAATCTGTTTGGAAAAGGACTGTCAGAATTTGTGCTGTTGGGCACACGGGGTGAAGTCGTGATCTATCTCTTTTCTTGCTTAAGCAAAGGGGTGCAGAGCCGGGAACTGGAGAAAATGTATTTTTGGATCTCTAGAAAATTCCTAATCCATTCATCCAGTGAATGCTATTTCCATCTTCTAACACACAGTTCCAGAACCTGGTGATAATTAGTGAACTAGATCCACAAGTTCCCAGCCCTGAAGACTTTACAGCCTTGTAGCTGAGACAGACAAAAAAGTAAGCAAATAAATACAAAATATAATTACAGATTATGATAAGTAACACGAAGGAGATAAAAAAAAAAGTTCATGATAAGTAGTAGTGGGGGAAAGAACCGCCTTCGATAAGTTTGTCAGGAAAATCCTCTCTGAATAACTATTGATTAGCATTTCCTACAAATAACAATGGCAATGACAACAAAACGGGCTTTAAAAAGAGAATTTATTGACTTATTTGGGAATAATCTAAATTCTGCAGTTTAGTCTAACAGCTCAGAATCATTCCAGAAAACTTTCTTCAGCCCACCTCCCAGCTCTGCTTTCTGCTTTGAGGAAGTCATCCACAGTCGCTACTCCGTAAGCCTCATTACTCATTACCCCCCCACACACACACACACATACGCTCCCACTCATGAACATAACTACCATCCAACAATTTAGAGAAACACAGAGGTCTCTTCCAAAAGCTCTCAATGAATAGAAAGGAACTTTTCTTTATAGGAAAACCCAATAAATGTCTTCTTACATCTCCTTAGCTCGAACTGGGTTATAGGCCCACTGCCGACCTAATCATTCTGGCCGCGGCAATGGAATATGCTTATTGTCTCAAGCCTGTTAGGACCTCGCCTGGGGTCCATCCCACCTAATCCACAAACTTAAAAGTGGGGTAAGAATGTAACTCTAGAAGGAAATTGGATCCTTTTTTTTTTTGCCAAAAGAAGGATGGATAGAGTTTGGGTGCAAAACGACACGTGCCTCTGTAAGGAGATGGCATTTAACCTGAAAGCTGAAGAAGCCAGCCATGTGCTAAGCCAGCGAGGCAGGGTTCCACGCACTGGAAATTGCAATGAAAAGGCCCAAGGCACAAAGGAGCTTGGCCTGTTCAAGGGACAGAGAAGTGTAGGCATTTATAAAATAAATCATTACTAAGCTCTGATAATTTAATCAATGACTCTTTTCTAACTACCTAAGGTAATTGAGTGGGAGCAGGTCAATTCTAAGGTAACCTGTGTACCTTTGATCTGCTTTTCCATATTCAGATTATTTTCCTTAATATAATAAATAGCTTTACATGAGCTCTTTCAATAATATAACACCATAATATAGCATAAAATGTCACACATGACATAATAATTCTATACAAGTTTCATATTTGATAGTTATTCAGGAAAAGTTGGGGAGAATGTCTGAGTGAGAAAATTTTCCTTGAGTTAGTTGCTGAAGATTTGCTTGAATTATGGGGTTAGTAGCAGCAAATACAATTGCTCTTCTAAAATGTGTAGTAAACTGAGAATAAACAGTGTGCTAGGTTTTACTTTAAATGCTATAAGTTAGGCTGAAATTGAGTATTTTCAATGATCATTTAGTTGACTTCTGAAATCGCCTTATTTGAAAATCTGGTGTAGCTCAATGGAAAGAGAATAATTTTGAAATCAAATGAGGCCTCCATTTCAGCTCAGCCAGTTGTAGTTGTTTGATTCTAAGCAAGTTGGCAAAGCTGTCAGAGCCACAGTTTGATCATCATTTTACTATTATTAGTAAAATAGTGTGCCAATCTCCACCCCCAGAGGTGTGTTGAGGCTTAATGACATAATGTACGTGACAGTATCCAATAAAATATGCTCAACGGAGCACGTTCAGTAAATGTGACAGTTTCTTCTTCCTTTCTTTGGGAACTTTAACTTGAAATAATGGTCAATGAGTGGATGAAAGAAAAAAAATTCTTGTACTTTGGAAGAAACTGAGTTTCTCAGAATTATTCGCCACCTCAAAGCTCTGAGAGCGATTAGTAGGAGTGAAATGGTGGAAGAAGGAAGGTTAACACTCTCAGTTAACTGTTGAAAATACATCACTTCCAGATCTTCGTTAACTAGCCCTCCTTCCCACCCCCATCAGCCGTTTTGAGAACCAGCCTTCACTGGAAGTCTCTCGAAAGGCAGGAGGACAGAAAGGAAAATGGAGAAAGGAAGAGGGGAGGAAGAGACATCACTCTCTTCCCATCAACCTAGAAAATCGCCTTCCCACTGTTTTTATTTTTTATTTTTTTTTTAATTTTTTAAAATTTATTTTATTTTTTAAAATATTTTATTTTTTTTAAATAATAATTTTTTTTATTGGTGTTCAATTTGCCAACATACAGAATAACACCCAGTGCTCATCCCATCAAGTGCCCCCCTCAGTGCCCGCCACCCAGTCACCCCCACCCCCCACCCACCTCCCCTTCCACCACCCCTAGTTCATTTCCCAGAGTTAGGAGTCTTCATGTTCTGTCTCCCTTCCTGATAATTCCTATCCATTTCTTCTCCCTTCCCCTCTATTCCCTTTCACTATTATTTATATTCCCCAAATGAATCCCACTGTTTTTAGTCAACCCAGTATCCATTCCCACTCAGGCTTCTCGAAGAGAGGGTATGGCTCTATCTTTTAACTTCTACTTTTTAAAAATTTTATTTAAAATGCGTCTCCCCCTACACTCCCACCGAACACATAAGCATTTGAAGTAGAAAGTTAAAGGTCTAACTAATCTCACCTCCCAGAAAAATCTATATGAGGCAAAACTTTTTGATTTTTTTACTTTGAATATCATAAAAAGGTAGATGATAGGTAGCTAGATAAAATAAATATACAGTTATAAGGAGATCAAACTGTTTTCCACTTAGCAAAGATATCCTTATATATCAATATTCACTCATTCATGATTTGACAAAAATGTATGAGCTCCTACTACACACCGGGTGTTGTTCTAGGTACGTGGAATAAACATTTAGATCCCTAAATCTTCATATCCAATAAAACACATTATTTAAATTCAAACTGATGACTTCATTTTGCCTTATGTAAATTTTGTTTTGTTGACTTCAGGGACCTTAAGTCAATTCTTAGCTGACATGAGCCAATACAGGTCAGAAGAGGAAGGCTTCCTCTAAGACCCAAGCATCAATCAGGAATCCAACAGAACCGCAGACATTACATCCTCAGAAACAGTTTTATCATCTTGTGTATCGCCCATCCAAGAGCAAATTGATCCTGTTTTATTAGCACTTTTCCCTAACCGGAGGGTTAGAGGGGTACCTAGGGCAGATCTATTGCAATGCTCTTAGCTCATAGACCTCACTTGTCATAGGATTTCCTGGTCCACCTTTGATTTTTAGAGACAAATAAAGGAAGCACAGTGTAAAAAGTCAAAACACTTGATTGCAAAACTTCAGAGCTAGAAGAAATACTTAAAAATCAGGTAGTCCCAGTCTTTCTATGAGAACACCTACAAATGACAATAGGGATCCTGATAATTTGCATATTCATTTAAATCGATAATTCAGCTCATATTAAATTATTAAGTCATATTTCCTCATTAGTCTTTATGCTCGGGATTATAGGGCAAGACAACTGAGCCTAACCCTATCCCCCTCTCGTGGAAGCTATTTGGTGATGGAGTTAGGACGTAAGCCCAGATAGTCCAAGGCTAGAGACAAAGCTCTTAACTACTTTTACCTTCTCTTGCCACTCAAAACTGGTTTCCTGAGTCCTGATACACAGGATGTGTGTGCCAAGAAAACCAGATGTCACCTATGCGTGCAGTGGCTTGTACTACAAAAGAGGAGCTTCAAGTTTAGTGAGCTTGACTTTTTTATAATGGGCTGTAAATCTGACTGAGTAGGTTTTTGGATGAACATCTGTTTCCATATGTCCCGGGTAAAGACCTAGGGGTAGGATTGTTGGGTCATAGGGTACGCGTATGTATGGGTACCCTTGAAGATAATCAGGAACAAAGGCAAGTAGCGCCTCTTCTCCTAAGTCATGGGGAAATGTGAGCAATCAGTCAGATGGCCTATAGCAGGTGTTCGATAAAGAGTAGTCATGATAATCAAACATATCGTTGCCTATGACCAGCCCTGGACAAGCTATTGGGTCATCTACTCATTCCAGAGAAGGGATTAAGGATTTTGAAGGAGTGTTCCTTCCCGCCTCTAAGTTGAATTCATCATTCTAATCATTCTAATGATATCGATAAAATAAAATCTAGTGGATGATGCTCACCACGTTGACAGTGGCCGTTTGCCCAACATTAGCCTTCCGCAGCACTTCCCAGCTTGCAGCTGTTCGGTTGAGCGACATGGTTGAGGAAGCTCAAGCCGCACTCGTATTCTCCTGTTCCTAACTGGCCATAGACAGCACACTTCTTTCCATTCATTCCCATTCCAGTCGGCTCATGATCTTCCATTTCTGCCCTACAAATTTTGGACATGTTTAGCCGGCTCACATAGTTGTGTAAGCCTGTAAAAGTGTGTATATGTACACACACACACAATTATGCACACCACTAGTTATGCTTCTTTGGCAAATGCTGAAAGATACAGAATTTAGTACCAGAGATGGTCCTGGAGAAATAAAATGTAAGGCTGAGTTCTTTGAATCAATCCTGGGTTTTCTGGAATTGGGTCTCTAATCTGATTAAATTTAAGGGTGCATTAGCCTGCTCCCACTGGTAACGTGGGCATGGGTAAAGAGGGCTGGTAGGGAGAGAGTAGAGATAAAGAAGGCTGCACAAGGCAGAGGCCACCGACCGCAAGGGATGTGATCACAGACTTTCTATGAATCCCTCAGCAACAATTTATGCCTTACCCCACATTTTTCCTTCTCCAGGGCCTGCAAATCCTGAGTCTACTGAGATTAGCAGAGTGATATTGTTTGCTTCTCGAATCCCTCCCTGCGGGCACCTAAGTAGGTAACACCACTGTCTACTAAGTTAGTGACCATTCCTCGATCTAATTTCCATCTCCCCAAACTGGTGAAATCTCTTCTGTCTCCTTCCATTCTCTCTCTCTCTCTCTCTCTCTCTCTTTTGGAGTTCAATTTGCCAACATATAGCATAACACCCAGTGCTCATCCCATCCAGTGCCCCCCTCCTTCCACTCTTATCAACCTCCAGGATTCATTTCTTTTCACTTGTATGTTAGAAAAGAAAAAAGGTAAAAGATGTGTTCCATCAATGATGTTCAGCTGGAATCCCATATTCTTATTTTAGATGTGTGTCAGGACTGATCCATTTCCTTATCAATGTTAGAAAGTATATATACACAGATCTGAAGTTTTAACCACATTCCCAGTTGCTCACTTTGGTTTTGGTTTTTGAAGGCTTGCAGTTAGCAGGGGACTAAAGGATTCTAGTGTTGTGCATGAAAATTACTCCTGTCCGATGACCTCCTTGCATGTTCTGTGTAGGAAATTCATTAAAACCAGAGCTGGGAACTGACTAAACAACAAGGCCAACCCATGCCCAGAGCCTCAGAAGCCCAGCACCCGCCGCCCGCCATGGGAAGGGTGCTCCTCAAGTGATGAAGGACTGGGAGAGCTCTAGAGGGTCAGAGAGCTGGGCCCCGGGGGGCTGAGCACAGCCTCCAAGAGATGGAGACAGGAAGTCCAACTGGACTGCTTCCCTTTTTTTAAAAGGTATCATCACAAATGACAAAATGACAGTAATTTTTAAGGTAGGAGGTGGATCATAATTCCTTCTGTTCTTTCCTGTGATGTGCATGTTTAACATTTTTCATAATAAAATATTAAAATAATTAAAAGATGATGTGTGCCTCTTGATAAGAGGAAGACAGGGTCAAGTTGTCATTTTAATTTTGGGATAACATAAAACCTAACGAAGAGATGCGTGAGTGCACCTATGATCCGATCCGCCCTCTTGTAATCAGTTGTCCCTTGGATCTTCCTGCTCACCACTCACATGCATTCTATGTACGGACAGATGCATAGAGACATAGATTTTTGCCCAAACATTAAAGGGCAAGCTGCGTATACCAAAGCCCTTTACCTATAAATACTACAGTTTCTATTTGTTTTTTTTTTTTTTTTAAAGATGATGTCTCATATACACACAGTCCATGTAAGCTACAGTAAGCCTAACACTGCCTCGGGGTTTCATCTACTACCTCTAACAGCTGTCCGCCTATAAAACAACGTCCGTGACAGTGTTTGCCCTCCAGAACCTGAGCCCGTAGGTGCTTGTATGTGGTCTTCACATCTCTAGGCCGCATCCCAAGGCCACGGGGGGAGGCCTCAGGCCCGGGCCCTCTGCTGGCCAGGCCCGTCTTCAAGGGTGTGTTCCATCGGGCCAGCAGGATAACCATCTTCTCTGAGAAGGGAAACTTTTCTTAAAAAGCTGTTTCTGGAAAAAAAAAAAAAAGGCTGTTTCTGTACAACTTGAGAAAGTTAATTAGGCCACAGGCTGCACGTCCTCTGAGAAGACTGGTCTCTGTTTCTCCGAACCCAGGGTGCTTATTCTCTCCAACGTGTCTGCTCTTCAGCGCCAAGTGCTCCCTTCTGGTGGCGCCACGTCTGGGATGGTGTTCACACCAGGTGGGAGTATGCAGCAGGCAGTGCCGCCGCCTTGGCTCGTGGCCCGGGCAGGGCGCAGCGTGAGGTCAGGGAAAATCCACTTCAGAACCTGCTGTCCGGGGTGGAAATCAGCCCCCGGAAAGCAAACTTTAAATGTGACAAATAGGTCTCCCTCTGACGTGGGCACCCAAGGCAAGGAAAGGCCCTCTTTCCAAGTCTTCAAGGAGCCCAGTGTGATGACACTGCTAGGGTAGGGGGTCATCACGCTGCTCTCCGTGGCCCAAGTGCAGCCTCTCTGCCTGGGGGCATGAAGCAGAAAGGGAGGAAGTCGTTTGGATTTGGTAAGTAAGGAGGAAGAAAGAATACAAATGGAGGACGAGCCAGCTGGTTGGAAGGTATGGGAATGTTCCCATTTTCCTCAGTCACGTCCCTACACACACACACACATCCAGGCCCCACCTTCCTGATTCTCGAGGCTCATCAAGCACTGCGAGCAGACTGTTGCCATTCTGGGGCACACGTACAAGGATCCTGTCCTTGAGCCCAAGACAGTGTTTATAGAAACGCTGTCAAGCATGGCCTCACTCTTCCCCACTCTGGGGAAGGCAACCCTAACGTGTCCCTTCTAGCCATGCTTGATGACATGTAGGATGTACACACAGTCTGATTGATGATTAGGGTTGAGGCATTGCCTTGTGATTTTTGAGCTCTTGGTGGATCCCTGGTAGATCTCCAGAGACCCCTACAGTTCAGGCAACAGAGGGGAATTCTACACTTTACTCCCCAAGTGCAGTGGTTCTACAGATTGCTGTGGACCCTGATCCGATGCTTGGAAGACAAAATAGTCAAGGATACCGAGTAGGTCCTCATCTTCATGCATATCCATGTCACCCTGATCAAAGCCGCGGACTTGCACAGGGAGTGTCTGCAAGCAAAGAAGACATCAAAGGGATGGGACCACAAAGAAGGAGGTAAAGGTGACTCATGGGACCCAATGAAAGGTAAAGTGAAGGTAGCCCTTTGAGCTACCTGCTTAACCACCACCAAATCGCAGGCCTGGGGTGAGAACATAGAGCAGGGTAGCCGATCCTGTCCACATCCCTGTCTCATCACCCTACCCAAGCACCCAATTCATGGGCTTAGAACAGCAAACTTTATCTTTTACGAAGAGCACCAGTCTTATGGAGGAAGCAAAGCCTACCAATGGTCAAGATTAATTCCAACTATTAATATAGCAAATAATACTGTACATCCCTCATTTTATTTGATTCTCGTACCTTAATGCTCAGAGAGACCGAGTTAACCCAATGAATGAAAAATCCAGTACTAGAGAAACTCAGATATGACCATCAGTCTGGGGATCTTTGCCATGAACCTGCAGATCAAGGACACCTAACCAAGGGCTTAATGACTAATCTGAGGACAAATCCAGTTATCCCTGCTCCCAAGATTTTTTTCTTATCTCTAGAGATACCAAGGGGATGAGGCAATCAGACAGGATTGACAAACACAGGAACTCTGCTTCTAGCACTTTGTTTCTCTTTACCAGGATCCATCCCTCATGAAAAAGCAGGGGGGCAAAACTCATTAGCTGAATAGAGGAAGAGCTATTGCTCTTTTAAAATAATGTTTTCAAATACTTTGTGCTCACACCCAGGGCTCACGGTGCCACCCAGGGCTCCCAAGGGTCATTGTTCACTTTGTTTGCAGTTGTGCTCCAGAGGTGATAATGGATACAGAATACAATGAGAATGGGATCCCTAGATTGAAAGAATCCCAAGCCCTACACCCTACACCTAATAAAAGGCCGATAAAAAGGCATGAGGGGATTGGTAGCTTGGAGTGGAGTAGCTCAGGTCTACACATTTTTGGAGAGTGGTGTTTTAATGTTATAACTTGTCAAAAAAAAAAAAGCATGTTGGTGTTTTAATGTATAGTTCCCATAAGTTTATTAGCCATTTGTATTTTTTAATTTCTTGCTCATTATCTGTAGCTTACTTATTTTGTATCTGAATTCAATTTAATTGACATATATTGTACTTTTTTTTTGTTTCAGAGAAAGAACTTAGTGTTTCATCAGCTGCATATAACACCCAGTGCTCATTCCCTCAAGTGTCCTCCTTAATGCCCATCACCCAGTTACCCCATCCTCCCCACCTCCCTCCACCAACCCTGTTTGTGTCCTAGAGTTAAGAGTCTCCTATGGTTTGCCTCCCTTTCTGTTTTCATCTTGTTTTATTTTTCCTTTCCTTCCACTTTGTTCATCTGTTTTGTTTCTTAAATTCCACATATGAATGAAGTAATTGGGTATTTGTCTTTCTCTGCCTGACTTACTTCACTTAGCATAATACCCTCTAGTTCCATCCACATCATTGCAAATGGCAAGGTTTCATTCTGTTTTTTTTTTAAATGATAGTATTTTTTAAAGATTTTATTTTATTTATTTATTCATGAGAGACACACACACAGAGAGAGAGAGAGCCAGAGACACAGGCAGAGGGAGAAGCAGGCTCCATGCAGAAGCCTGATATGGGACTCAATCCTGGGTCTCCAGGATCACACCCTGGGCTGCAGGCAGTGCTAAACTGCTGCGCCACTGGGGCTGCCCAGGTTCATTCTTTTTGATGGCCGAGTAATACTCCACTTTTGTCTCTTCTGTGTTTCAAATATTTTTCCCAGTGTCATTTGTAGGTAGCTTTTGTTTCTGCAGCATTTTGCCATGTAAATACATTTTTATGTACCAACTCTGCCAAACATTGTATTTTTGACAATGTTACAAATTCAGATAGTTTTAAATAACAGGCAAATAACACAAAAAAGTGAACTGGAAAACAACCTTTTTACAGTAGGCAGAAATTATTTATTTAAACAAAACGGAGAAAACTCTTAGATTGTGAATATGGCTGAGGAAGTTTTTCATATGCTCCAAGAGTTTTGGCAAAGGCACCACAGGCCTTGATAGAAGGGTACGCACGGTCATGCTGCCCTTGAGGATTCTTCAAAAGCACCACGAAGCTCTAAAAGAAACCTTTAATGACTAAAAGGGAGAAGTTACTGGCTTAAGTTGGGACTGGCCATTTCTCACATGTCTACTTTGGTGAATAAGTACTTCTTGTTCATTGAACTTTGATGCTTTGGATAGTGCGTAGAGCAACATGAGGGTAGCTCATCAGTAAATATCCCCAGAAATGGAGAAATTTGCATTGTCTGTCTGTAGTGATTATGAGTAAATACCTCTACCCTCTGTTCCTTTTAAACCCACTCTTTCACCCTTTGCCTAACTAATTTGTACTCTTCTGGTCTCAACTTAAGGCTCTCTTTAAGCTTTCTCTGACCTCTCCCTGTCCACCTCATGTCGCATCTGTTTTGTTGCTCCTCATATGTTCCCATAGCAAATTGTACTTTCCACGTCACAGCATTTATCACTTCAGAAGATAACTATCTGTTCACCCATCTACCTCCCTAACGACATCACATGCTACTTGAGGCAAAGACGGCTGCCTAACTTGTTCACAATTATATTCTCAGCACCTACCCCAGCACGAAGTAGAAGCCAACATTTATTTGTGGCACAAATAACGTGTGTGTGGCTCTGTAGGAAGTACTGCATCTGCCTCATATTTTCATTCTGCATAGAAATTTAAAAGACATGTCAGATTAAAAGTTGTCCTCCACACTGGACCGAGAAATGCCTCTGGTTGGGCAATAATTCAGCATATGTCTCCAACCAAAAATTGGGGAACCATGAAAACAAACATGTGGTCATTTGAATCTATCTCCTTGTTAGCTGCGGAGAGCTCAATTTGCATTCCAGAGAATTATCCATGTTCCTCCTATTGTTTATTTATTTTAACTTGAAAAGGAATCAAAATGTTAACATGGAACACAAACTGCTAAACAACATCAAGTGGTGGGGGCAGGGAGAAAGAGATGGAAATAGGAAAAAAAAACAGTAAAAATAAACAATAAAACAGAATTTCAAAACACAGTCTTATTCTGAGACAACAGAGAACTACCTGACTGGTTCTTATGATGTAAAATTTTGACAAGTTTGTTGGACTTCAAGAGAAAAAAATAAAAGAGACTTCTTGATTTGAATCTAGACTTTTTCTTAAATATCAAACAAAACAAAATACTACCTTTCTTTTAACTCAGCAGGGATCTCAGCCAAGAAAGAAAGAGAGAGGAAGGAGAGAAGAAGGGGAGAGGAAGGAAAGGGAAAGAGGAAAAAATCTTGAAATTTAGGGTTTTTTTTTAAAATTTTATTTATTTATTTACGATAGACATAGAGAGAGAGAGAGAGAGAGAGAGAGAGAGAGCCAGAGACACAGGCAGAGGGAGGAGCAGGCTCCATGCAGGGAGCCCGACGCGGGACTCGATCCTGGGACTATATAGGGTATATATAAACACAAGGAAATAGTGAAAAGATATGATGAACAGACACCAGCTTCAGAATAAAAAAAAAAAAACAACTTTACCTGTTAATGATTTTTTAAACATTTTTAATGCTTTTAGAAAAAAAAAATGGTTCTTCTCTACTCAAGCTAAGCAGTTAATCATATAGGTACTTCGGGGATGTCTGTAGAGCTGACCCCTGCCAATTATCTCCCTACCTACCCCTCCCAAGCACACACACACCTGCCACGACCATAACCCCACTGAAAAGACCCATCTTAGGCAGCACACGATGTCCCTTCCCTGACCATAGTTGACTGAATCAAGGCCAATCTTCCCCCACTATACCAATCAAGTATAATCTCTCAATTCGAAGCAACAGACACCGATGTTAATTTGGCTTTAATTCATCTCCCTTTATGGACAGAATAAAAATGTTCAAACCACTAACCTGAGTACTATTCTATCACAATACAGCAAAGAAAAAAAAAAGAAGTGGGGCTGGAGAAGGAGGAAAGGAGGAAAAAGAAACATACTCAGGACTTCCACACAGTTGGAATAAATGTGCACTAACCCTAGATATGTTCCCAAAGTGATTCAAAACATTTTGACCTATCGAAAGCCAAATCTTGTTATTGGGATTGGATATTTATAGATACTAAAAATATATACTTCAAAGCAATTTACTGGTTTTGAAATGTCTAAAATGGTTTCAGCAGCCTCAATTAAAAAGAAATTTATACCACATCATTCAGTCATTATGAAAGTAGCCATGAATTTTGAATTTAAGTATGAATCAAGACAGAAAAAAAATCACTTTCTTCAGAAAATATGGAATAAAACTATTCCATAAAACTATTCCATAAAAATATGGAAGGAAATAAAGCCATTTTCAGGAATAGTTGACAATTTTTCAAATATAAAGATCCGTTAAAAGGTAATGATATAGTACATTTAACTGAGTTCTAGGTAGTCTAACATAATTACAAAAACTATGCTCATGTATTCAACACTTACAGAAATCTAGCATATTCCAGGCCTCTGCTAATCACTGAAGATACTGCGGTGAGCAAAATAGACATAACTCCCTGCCACATGGAGCTCACGTGGTTCAGGGAGAAAATAATAAACAAAATTAATAAAATATGCAATATAGTATATTTCATGGTGATAAAAGTAATATTAAAAAATGAAATAAAGAAGGGGATTGCCAGGGAAATCCTCAATGAAAAACTTACATCTGAGTCAAGGTCTGAATGGGCCTTTACATCCATCCATGTAAACTTTTAAATTGAAGTGATACTAATTTCATGAAAACAGAAATGTGAAGGGTGCTCTTCCGAGACAAGAGCACATTCTCCACCCTTGGAGTGGGGTGCAGTCACTGGGCCTCCATCCCCTGGGCAGGTGCCTCCCACATTCCCGGGCCCTCTCAGCCAGAGTTAATACCCCTTTGTGGCCGACCTCTCTCTCCTGCGTGCAGATGTCTGTGAATACCCGGGTTTCTCCCCAGGAAAGTGCATTCTCCCT